ATCTCTTGACCTCGTGATCCACCCGCCTTGGCCTCCCAAAGTGCTGGAATTATAGGCGTGAGCCACCGCGCCCGGCCTCTTTTTCTTAAAAAAAGATATCTATTAACTATCTATGACTGACTTAGATGTCTCTTGAAAAGAGAAATAGAAATATGACAGTCATAATCCTGAGCTAATACGGAGTATAATAAGCCAGCCAGTGTTTAGCTTGTCCCTAGGTCCATGCAGCCCTGTTGTACAGATGAGAAAGCATGCTCAAAAGGGCGAGGTAACTCTCCCAGGGTTTCATGTCTGGCTGTGTGAACGACCTGCTACAACCAGCATGAAACTTCGAGCAGGTCACCTTTGAGCAGGTTACTTCGCTTCTCTAAGCTTCTACAAAAGCAAGAAAGAAAAAGTCATTTTGTAACATGTACATGTGTGGTACAACCTTAGTGATGAATATGAGCCAGGGAAATTCCTTCTGGTATCCACCCTGGTGGTGACTTCGCCTCTGATCCACTGTTCAAAACCAATAATAATTCATTCATGTGTCTCACTTTTCCCGAGGAGCTAACAGGGATGCTGTGGGACATAAAAAGATGAAAAGTCCTAATTTCAGGGGTGACAAGTCAGAAAGGTAAGTAGGAGCCAGAGCTGGTGGTGTGAAGTGTTAATCTCAGGAGTTTAAACTTTGTCAGGTGGGTGTGCTAGGTATTCTTGGTCTCCCCTTCCTTCCCTAACTGATCCTGTATGCCCTGCTTTTTGTTTCCAGAGTCAGAAGGTCAGTCTCTAAAGGCCTGGGCTCCAGGTCCTCTGGTTCTTTTTTTTTTTTTTTTTTAAAGATTTATTTATTATTATTATTTTTTAAGATAGGGTTTCACCATGTTGGCCAAGCTGGTCTTGAACTCCTGACCTCAGGTGATCCGCCCGCCTCGGCCTCCCAAAGTGCTGAGATTACAGGCGTGAGCCACAGCGCCCAGCCCTCTTTTTTTTTTTTTTTTTTATTTTTTTTTTAAAGACAGGGTTTCACCATGTTGGCCAGGCTGGTCATGAACTCCTGACCTCAGGTGATCCGTCTGCCTTGGCTTCCCAAAGTGCTGGGATTACAGGTGTGAGCCACTGTGCCCAGCCTCTAGCTTTCATCTGAGTCTAGCCATGGGAAAGCACCAGGAAGAAGAGATCAGCAAGCAGGAAGAAAGGTCAAGGTGTTTATTCTCTGCCTTCTTTCCCTGCCAGGACGTGGTTCTGGCAGGAGCTGTGCTCCTTAACAAACTCACAGCTCCTTTGGAGGACCCCTCTCCCATGACCATTGCTTTTGCTGGGTTCCAGTGACACATCCTCACTCCCTCATTGCACGTGGGGTAGTGACACTACCTTGCCAGTCCCTGGGTACTCCACCATCCCTTGTATGTTTCCTTTACAATTCACACTATTGTGAATAATCCCTTCATTAAAGGCTTTTTAATTAACCCTTTGAGTACACTGACAGTTTCCTGCCTGGACCTTGACAAATGTAGGTAAGCAATAAGAACCACTGAACTTTTTTTCCTTTTTTTCTTTTTTTTTTGAGATGGAGTCTTTCTCTGTTCACCCAGGCTGGAGTGTAGTGGCATGATTTCAGCTCACTGCAACCTCTGCCTTCCAGGTTCAAGTGATTCTCCTGCCTTAGCCTCCCAAGTAGCTGGGACTACAGGTGCGCACCACCATACTCGGCTAATTTTTGTATTTTTAGTAGAAATAGGTTTTACCATATTGGCTAGGCTGGTCTCGAACTCCTGACCTTGTGATCCACCTGCCTTGGCCTCCCAAAGTGCTGGGATTACAGGTGTGAGCCACTGCTCACACCTGTATTATTTTTTTTAATTTGGCAGAAAGATGAATTTATTTTTTTTAATTTGGCAGAAAGATGTAGGTAGGATAGAGTTTAGAAAACACTAGACACAGAGAGCCAGTTAGGATATCAAGTAAGACATAAGAAGGGGCTAATGGAGGGAATGAAATGGACCACACAGTTATCACTAGAATTTGGGACTATTAGTGGGGTGGGAGAGCCAAATTAAAAAAAAAAAAACCAAAAACCACTGAACTCTAGACCAATACCTCTTATAAACTTAGGCACAGTTAAAAATCCTTAACAAAATATTATCAAATTAAATCTAGCAATGTGTTAAAAGACAATACACCAGTCGGGCGCAGTGGCTCCTGCCTGTAATCCTAGCACTCTGGGAGGCTGAGGTGGGTAGATTACCTGAGATCAGGAGTTCAAGACCAGCCTAGTCAACATGGTGAAACCCTGTCTCTAATAAAAATACAAAAATTAGCTGGGCATGATGACATGTGCCTGTAATCCCAGCTACCCAGGAGGCTAAGGCAGGAGAATCACTGAAACCCAGGAGACAGATGCTGCAGCGAACAGAGATCATGTCACTGGCACTTCAGCCTGGGCAACACAGAAAGACTCCATCACTTTAAAAAATACATAAATAAATGAATAAAAATAAAACAAAACCAATACACCATGACCAAGAGGAGTTTAATCCCAAGAACGCAAGGCTGGCTTAACATTCTAAAATCAATTACTATTGGATAGGAAGATGTGGGGGTTTTTTGTTTGTCTGTTTGTTTTGAGACAGAGTCTTGCTCTGTCACCCAGGCTGGAATGCAGTAGCACTATCTTGACTCACTGTAACCTCCGCCTCCTGGGTTCAGGCAATTCTCGTGCCTCAGCCAGTTGGAACCACAGGTATGTGCCACCAGGCCTGGCTAATTTTTTATTTTGTAGAGAAGGGGTTTCGCCATGTTGGCCAGGCTGGTCTCGAACTCCTGGCCTCAAGTGATCCACCTG